AATGCAGAGGACAGGCCCACACATATGGTGGCTCCTAGAGGCCACACAGGGAGAGGTGGAGAAACAAATTCTGTCTGGAAGCTGTGCGACACAGCCCTGCCCAGGCCTGGCTTTCAGTGGTACGAGGCATGCGTCAGATGTCTGACTCCCAGGACCAGAGATAACAGACGCTGTGCAGGAGCTCCAGCTACCAAGTGAGCTGCAGGACTGACAGGAGCCAGTGCAGGGACCAGGAGACCACGCTGCAGCGCCACAGAAGGCAGAGGAGGGGCGAGGAAGGCGCGGGTCCTGGGCCAGAGACCCCAGCTGCCTCAGAGATGCCCCAGCTGGTGGCTGCTGCCCCTCATAAACCAGAATGAGGTCTTTACCTGCTCCTGGGTGGCGGAGAGGTCAGGACAGCCATCATTATTTTAGCCTCACCCTGGCGTGGCCGGGAAGAGAGCTGAGCAAGGCTTTGGAGGAGCTGCGGAACAGCCCTGTCATGCACTTTCCTTCTGGAAACGCCCAGGGGTCCTCCTTTAGCTCCCCCCAGGTGGTGTCTCCAGTGAAAACAGGAATGTGGGTGGCCTTAGCTCTCCTCAAAAGTAAATGCTGAAGGGGGGTGGTAGCCCATGCCTGTAATCTCAGCACTTGGGAGGCTGAGGCAAGAGGATCTCTGCGAGTTCAAGACCAGCCAGGACTAAAGGGATTTCAAGGCCAGCCTGAACTGCAGAGCAAGATAACAACTCACAAAGGTTTTTTTAAAAATGTAAATCATAGAAGTGCCTGCATGTGGGGTCATGTGTGTGTGACTACAAAGCCTACTGCGTGGGAAGCGCTACTTCCTGCGTATGAGAAGCTCAAATGTGTGAATATATATTTTTTGGAGATGAGGTCTCCCTCTTCAGTGCACACTGGCCTGGAACCCAAGAAATGCTCCGCCTCAGCCTCCGGAGGGCTGGGATCACAGGTTCGGGTCCCCCAACCTGGCAATGACTAAAGTTTAGATCAAATCACTTTTCAGTTAACTGAACAAATGCCATTAATTTTTTGTTCGCTTATGTATCTGAGATTGCTTCATAGTTAGCACTTATTGGTATTACTTTTTTTTTTTTTTAATTTACAGGGAAGTCTACGGAGTGTCTAAGTTCTCACCACTAGTTAGGACTTAGGTGATTCTCCCGTTTACAGCCTCCAAAGTGCTGAGATTACAGGTGCGCACTACCGTGTCCAGTCTCAATAGCCCTCTCAGTTCACCCTGGGGGCGGGGCCTGCACAGCAGCCCAGGGATCCAACTATGGCCCCCGTGCCTGCTTGCAAGCACTTTAATCTGCTGAGCTACTTGGCGGGTCCCAATTATTGCTATTTCAAACAAAGACCTTCACGCTTCCTGTCCCAGCCATCTGCCCTCCCTGATCCTCACAAAGGAGCCCTCCTGCTCTCAGAGACTTCCAGAGCCACCTGCTGTTTCAGGAGTCTGTCTGTCCTGAGGTGGTCCTCTTGTTTTTTTCTGTGTGACTGAGATTTTATTTTGGCCACTGAGTCCTTTTTTACTTACTTTTACTCTTCTAGTCTCAGCCTTGGAAGCAGTTTCTGCATTTCTCTGTCACTTACTGGAAGTACAAAGTGAAGAACTTTTTCCTAACCACGTTTGTCATTGCTGTCTTTCCACTTGGTCTCAGATAGCATTGAGCTGCCCCGCTCCGCACTCATTCCTGGCAGAGAAATGTGCCCCTTCGTTCACAGTGCGAGAGCTCTGAGGGAACAAGTTCCCTGAACCCAGGGAAATGTACGTGGAGAGAGTCGTCTCAGGTGCGAGTGGGGCAGGGGGCCTTTCCACAGGAAGCACCACTGCGACACCTGGAGTCTGAGCAGAGCTTACAGAACTGCAGGTGCCCCGCTGGCTGGGGGAGCGGGGTGTGCTCAGGTGGCACTCTCCGGATCGCAGCACCAGGATCACACAGGATGCTCATGTCAGGAACAGCTTGGGGACCAGTTTTCACCTGGAAGCTTCTGGGGAACTGCAGAGGACTGGAGAGTGGGGTCACACTCACTTCAGGGTGAGGAGGTGCCAAGCATGACCCCAATCCACTGACTTTCAGGGAGTCATCTACGAATGTTAGGATTATGTGTCAAAGGTGATATTTTGGAGGGAAAAATCATAAGGACATTTTATTAAAAGTTTCCACCTTGACAAGTGTCGAAGAACAGACTTAGGTGACTCATCATTTATTTCTTTTGTGGCCGGACCTGCTGCTTGCCTGTCCAATGCCCTCCTCCTAGGAGAGTATTCATCCTGCTTGGTGCAGCAGGGAATTCCAGTTTCTCACAGTTGGGTGGTCACGTGACACAGTCCTGATCAGGAGACAGGAGTTATGGGCCAGAGCTTCCAAGAGATTGTTGAAACAGAGAACTCCGCAGAGGTAACACCTTAATCCAGCTCCCTTCTTCACCTGCCTGAAGTTAATAAACCTTTAATTAGAACTCAGACCCATATTCTGAGAATCTGAAAACAAGTTTTATCTTAAAGATGGACTGTGATTGGCCCAGGCCTTTCCACCATCCTCAGATTCCCTGTCTGACCTACACTGCCCCTATGCAGCTTTCCTCTTCACCTCTTGTGAGGGCTGCACAGGCAGTGTAACTCAGATTTTGAAACGAGATTTGAAAGAAAGGAAATCCTTCTCTTGCTCTTTGCTAAATTTCTTATCCCTGAAATTTCTTGTAAGGTTCATAACATAAACCTGGCTCAGTAGTTCTGAAGGAGAAATAAGGAAAGAGAAGATGGGATGTCGTCCGGAGTCTTAGGT